TGATCTCGGCTGCGGTCCAATCAGAAGGCGACACGCGAGGCATTGGTCCATCAGCAGTTGACACGTGGAGGCCTCGCATGCGAGGGGTGACGTGGCGTTATTGTTCATGCGAAAATTCCCGGTTTTTCTATTTTTCTTTATTTTTTTGCCAAAACTTGTAAAATTCATAACTTTTGCATACGAACTCCGTTTTTGACGTTCTTTATATGCACGCATAGGTAAAATTATACTCTACGACTTTTATTTAGACTTTCTCGGCTAATTTTGACTTTATTTTTAATATTATTATTTTAAACAGACCGGGACGTGAATCCGTTATAAATTCATAACTTTTTCATACGACGTCCGTTTTTGTCTATCTTTTTACCGTTGTATTACTAATGACGAGACCTTCAATTCTCGTTTAGGTTGTGTCGGCTAAAAACCACTCGATCTTTATTTCGAGTTTTTAGTTGTACACTGCTATACTGAAACTTCGAAAAATCATAACTTCCTCATACGAAGTCAGATTTTGGCATTCTTTTTATGAAAGTTCTCGGTTTAACATAAACTATAACTTTCATTTAGATTGCTAAGGCTAGAAAGCCTTTTATTAAAAATTTAGTTTTTACACTGAACACAGTTTTGCCGGTTTTGTCGCGGATTTTCAATTGGTCATAACTTCTTCGTTATAACTCGGATTTTAGTGTTCTTTATATTTTTGGAAACCTTGTTACAATCTCTATCACTTGGTTCAACCCAATTGAGATTATTTAATAATTTATTTTTGAGGGTCAATTATGTAAATATACATAGTATGCCAAAATTTCTCTTTATAAGTTTACAAATAAGTACAAATTGACCTACACTATTACATAGGTTTGAAATAACGGTTTGTTACAAGTGAAGCTAAATGTCTCAGAACCAGTATCCACCGATTTACGTGAACTGAAAACTCCTTTTTCTTGAAAATGAAATAATTATACTTTTAAATAATTATATGTTTCTTCTGAAATGATAGTGTAGTTTTGTGACTCCCAAACTATACCAATTATAGTTTAACATGTTTGTTTGTCAAGAACATTTATATAATCCTTTATATAAATACATAGAAATCATCCTGTCTAGTTTCAAAATATAAGGTCAAACATCGTACTTTTGGGTTGTAACCCACAAAATAGTGAAATAACTAGGATGTACTCTTTTTTGTTAGAAAAGCTATATTTTGGTGAAAAGCTACCAAAAACCTTGTAGTTTTCCAAATCATATTTTTCCTTATGATTTTGTGACATGGATTATAATTTGTTTTTGTTAATTTTGCATTTGAAAACTAATATATCACAAATATGTGTATAAAAGCTAGCAAAAACTATAAATCATGCAAATAATATCTTATTTTGAACATAAAGATGAAACATTTCATGTATTTGTGGGGTAAACTAAGTTTTACTGGTATCCCCCCCCCCCCCTCCTAAAAACAGAAAAACTCAAAAATAGGGGGGTATGAACTTACCCTGAGTGGATTTGTGGGTTGTTTGAAGAGATGGTGTGAAGATTTTCAAGCCTAAAACACTTGAATGTGGTTGATGAACTCTTTGAACGTGATATTATCCTAAGAGTTTTAACACATAATAATATGTGTAAATAAGGTGGAACTAACATGATAGTGTATAAAAACACTAGATTGACAAGAAAAATATACCAAAAATCTAAGAATAAACTTGAATAATTAACTCTTGAAAATCTTGCACTTGTCCTTTAAGAGAAAGAATGAAGGAAAATGAAAGGAGTTGAAGAATATGATATAGTGGGGTTTATGGGTGTTTACTGTCGAATATAAAGAGGAGAGGATGATATGATATTTGCCTAGTTAACTGTCGGTAAATAACATCGATATATGTTGGGTATAGTTTTGTATTGGAAAGGAGGAAACATCTAAATCATAAAGTCAACTTTCCTTATTTACTTTTCCCACCGATAACCCATTGAAATTTCCTTAGTATGACCGAAATCACATGTGATTTAGGTCTAGGGAGTATTTCGGCCTAGAGGTGTTTTGGTTCTAGCATGTTTTCGGTTCTAAGTCATCCAACATGGTGTTTTTGGTTGGGTATCACCCATTAGAGTGTGATTTCGATCCTAGGGGTCTTTAACATGGGATTTCGGTTTTGGTGTTACCCGCTAAAGGGTGATTTCGGTCCTAGGCAAACCGAAATCACTAGGCTGGTGGGCTACTAAGTCGAAAACTATAAAGCAATGTTTTAATTCATGATTTATACCCCATCTATTTGACTTGTCTTGACTTGCTATAACATGTTGACTTTTAAAGGTTTATTACGAACATAGTTTTCAAAGTATATATACATATTTACTTATACAAATGATGTTCTTTTGGCTTTCACGGTTTTATTGCAACAAAAATTACGTTGTGAGTTCACTTGTACACGGTTACAATTTAGACATTGTTTGTTCCAAAATTTTCCAATTGTCACACTTAAACCCCACATAGGTTTGTTCAGGTGCTTTATGCCCCACCATAGACACTTCCTTGGGCTCTGAGGGTGGTTGATGGAAGTGATTGCATGAATGAAGTACTAGCTTAGGTAGAATACGAGTCGATGCACCAATAAGTCGATGTTGACTCACTCGCTTAGTTGTCACTTGACAAAATAATATTACCTTCTAATATGGGTAAAAGTACCAAAATGACCGATAAAATACAAATCCGTACCCTTTAAAGGCAAAAAAACCACGAAGGACCATTTAAACCATTATACTAAAGATTGTTAGGCTACAATGACGGTAACCCTTTAGGTTTAGGTTCAAAAAATTTTGAACCAGTGCTCTCGGTTAACCTTCCGTAAAAAATGTTTAACCACCATATGGATTCGATCATCCATTCCAATGTTTGAATGTTCATCTTTCTATTTGACTTCACAAACAACCCAAATTCTTCATTATTCAACACATACTTCGTAAACCATTTCTACATTGTCATATACGAAACACTAGAGTGTAGTGTGTAGGAAGCCCCTTTGTAAATCATGTCCTCATAGTCTTACAGAAGTAATTATTTGGTTAGACTAAAAGCGACTACAAAAAAAGTTATTTAGCGATGACATTTATCGCCGCTAAAAATACCACATGTCGTTGGTTAAAATAACCGGTTTTGATTTTTTGCGCTTCGGTTAAAAACATAACTGGATTTGCTTAGGTTTTTGGGCTTCAAAAGCTACAAAAAAAAAAAAAAAAAAAAAAAAAAAAAAAAAAAAAAAAAAACTGGTCCAACGGTCTTTTTCTCTCTCTCTCTCTCTCTCTCTCTCTATATATATATATATATATATATATATATATATATATATATATATATATATATATATGTTCAAACAAGAACATTTCTTATTGCGAGAACTGAGAATAAATTTGGATCACACATTTCTTAAATGAAAAAAGAGCATGTCCTTTAAGTTTTAATAAAGAGAGGGTCTTATGTGTAATTTAACCTATCTATTCCTTGCACTTTGCTTAAAACACAACGACCACCCACTCCGATCCTGCCCTCCACCCAACAACACCTCCTCCGGCTAATCGCCTAGACACCATTAATCACTAGCGGAGATTACCACCTCTAGAATCGAGAAGCCGATATTTGATGAAATCGAGAAGATAGTTGAAGTATTGGATCGATCAAAAAAGGAAAAAGATTTAACACACATAAGCCCAAACGTAGGTATAGCTAATGAATGGACAAGTGAGAATTTCAGTAATTTAATTTTAGTATTAGGTTTTAACATTTTTGATCAATGGAACTTCATTTGTAATTAATTTTCAATTTCCTGACACTGTAGTAAGAAGCGTGGTACTTCTTTTGGATCATTTTCTGATGGAAAAGAAGAAGAAACGAATCTATTGTTGATTTCTTCACATTCTCAAATAAAACATATTGAATGACCCTAGGTTGAGTTGTTAGCCCATAGGTTCCACATGGATTTTTCTGGATGAAATTAAGAAAACAGAAGATGAAGGATAAAAAAAAAAATTGGGGATTTATAGACGTATACAAAAACTAGTAGTGGGTGTTGTATGTGCTCATAAAGATCAAAGTAAAGTTTTAGTTATGTCATGCGGGAGATAACACGCTTAGAAATTCTGCTTTAAAAAATAAATATCAACTTGATCCATTTCTTTGATGTTTGTTCTTGTTCCTTAACTTCATTTGGATTTAAGATTGATCAAGTGTTTATTTCCGTCAATACCAATTGATCAGTTTTAATAAAGCCGGTTTCAGTTTTAACCAGCAGGCGGCAAATGTGCAACACTAAATTTAATTAATTATATAATAATGACTAATAATAAACATTACCTATATCACGAAGCCAAGGTTGCACAAATGATTCAAATTGGTTGCTAAGCACTTTTTTGTTGCATAGTTGGTGATTCAAATTCCGATAGTATCTTCACTTATATGAAATATTTAGGTAGAAGTAGTTTTGGTAGCTAATGACTGTTTTTTTTTTTTTTTAAATATTGCTTCATTCTTGCATTGTTTTGCTCATGATGTGTATAAATTGGTTAATTATATTAACGACGGGCATTTTATTTGTATTACAATCATTATTGTTGTAAAATTTAAAATGAAATACTCTCCCATATATATGCTTTTCACGCGACCGACATAAAATCCTTCCCATATTGATAACATTCATAAAGCAATTATTGAAAGAAAAAAGAAAAGCAAACGGTGAAAAATGATAAAGCAGAGAGTTTACAATTCACGTATCGAATACAATTATAATTATATAAATCATGAAGTGGCCAACTGGATCTACATCAAACTTTGTTTAATCATTTTTAATGCTCTTATCTGTGTAGGAATATCTTCTGTCATAAACAAAGTGAATGTGATAAACAAGGCAAGTATCGAATAAAAAAGGTCAATCTGTTTACACTATATATAAACCATGAGGAAGTTGATTGTATCTACATCATATCTTATTCATCCATACCTAGTCTTCATTCAAATGGCAGACTCATCAATCCCACCTCCTCCACATGCTTTAGCACAAATACAAGAAGACCTAAAGTACTTATATGCATCAAATACTAATATTTCTAACTTTGTCTCTGTGAAGCTTTCCAGCGCAAGCAACTACCATCTTTGGGAGAAACAGATGTTTTGCCTCATGGAGACTTACAATCTGCATGGCATTGTAGATGCAACAGTTAGCTGTCCAAGAACTTTGAACACAGAGATGGAGAAACAATATAACAGTCTTGTCAAAGGTTGGATCTTCGGTTCAATCAGTGAAGAGCTACTTGGCACTGTTGTCGATCTTGGTTCAGCCAAAGAGGTTTGGGAGAAGCTGAAATCGTTCTACGATCCAACTATGATAAGTTCTCAACAAGGTACCTATCTACTACAAGGATTCAATACTTATGACCTTTACATTTAGAAATTATCTACAATAATTTTGAATATATCCTAAGACATACATACTCTTAGCCTCATATAACGAGTCATTCGACATTAATCCCTACTTATCCTAATGGTCTGCACCTAACATCTATGACTTTACACAAAAAAATTATTTACAATACAGGATGTTCTCACATGAACTATCGTACTATCTAAACGCTTTTAATTTCTTTTGTTATGCTTTGCGTAAGCCTATAGTTAAACCAAGAACTAAGAAGAGATTGACTAGAAATTAGATGAAAAAAACAATTATATACTTCTAGATGGCTAGAAAACTACAGAGAGCATAACAAAAGAAGTGGAACTCTTTTTCTAACTCTACTACTAGATGCGTATCTATATATTTGGCTAATTTAGAATCCTTTCCTTATTGATAGAAATGGTCCCTCGACTTATGGTTAATTGATTCCTATTAGTTGGCTACAAACATAAGTCATAGATCATGTGTCGAACATCATTGTTCCTTGTAAACCCCACTTCTCCTTGAAGAAATTACAACTCACGATTTGATTCCATTTAAGTAATCAACCATAAACCAGCATCTTGTTCGTATGAAATGAATAAATATTCTCTATCATCGTTCCCATCAAAAGATCCGCCACCTTCAATACATCCGCCTATCGGTTGGTACATCTGAACAATCAATGTTTACAACCACTTTTAAGGAAGATGCACCTATATTCTCAGGCCTGTAACATATTGGTGGTCTATTTTCCCTCTTGAGATGAACCTGACCAATAAAGAACAACCTCCTTTGTTTCCACCTTGAGGTAAAGCCTCATATACTCCCTCCATTAAAACTATGAGCAAGTCTACCTTTCTCTTGGTTAGGGAAACAAATACCATGATTGGAGATTGCCTTTCCAATGGCTAGGGAAAAACCCAAGGTTGGGGACCGGGTTTTCCACGATTGTGTAAAACTTCCCACGATTTTTTCGAATGGAAACGTCATGTTTCTTCTTTCATAGATATATCAAGTCTTTAGGGAAGGTACATACAAGTGTGGGAATGTAGCTCACGACCATAGAAATGAAACTAATAGCTATGTGTTTTCCAACTTGCTTCATACTAGTAAATTTGAGAGAGTACAATTGTTTTTTTGTTTTCTTATACCAAAAACCGATTGCAAGGATCCTTTTATAGCATATGAGACAAAAGATAAGTACATAAATTTGATAAGGATCTAATCCTTGTAGACTTAAATAAAGATAAATATAAGGAAACTAAAACAATCTCAACACTCCTTGTCAAGTTGAATTGTGTAGTCACGAATACCCAACCTGCTAAAAAGAAAATGAAAACGATTTTACCCAAAGCTTTAGTGAAAAAATTTGCCATTTGATACTCAGAACCTAAGGTTTTATTTCTCCATTTGTCACACATTCTCTAACAAAATAAGAATCTCAAACCTATGGCACAAGGTTTTATTTCTCCATTGGATTGAGTGTTATGTGTTTGGCTGCCTCATTGTCACACATTAAAGAAGTTGCTCCAACTTGTGTAACATCAAAATCTTGTAGAAACCACCTTAACCAAATTATTTCACACACTATCCTAACTATATATCGATCTATATTTTGCCTCAGCTGAAGATCTAGAAACAATACTTTCTTTCTTCTTTCTCCAGGAAATAGGAGATCCTTCTAAACTAATAAAGTAGCATACAACATTTTCTTGTAGACAAACAACTCAACCAATTAGCATCACAGTTTCTCATTACGTTGAGGTTTCCGGATGAAGGCAAAAATAAATGTTGTCTTGTTGTTTTTAAGTAGCGAAGCACTCTATGTGCAACAACTAAATGAGATTTTTTTGGCTTACTAAAAAGCATGGTTAGTTGATTTACCGAGAAAGTTATATATAGGCAAGTAACTATGATATAGAGTAACCTGCAAATTAATCTTCAGTATTGTTGTACTATATCAACATCTATATCAACTTCTGGACTGTCATCATCCTTGTAAATGCGTAAGGTTTTATCCATGCTGAACGAACTAGGACGGTTGCCTTGAACTCCACTATACTTTTATATATCAAGCGTATATTCATTTTGACTGATAAGGAAACGTTCAGAAGAATGGGCTACCTCAATACCAATGAAATATTTTAAAGACACCAAATCTTTGATGCTAAATTGCATTTGCAACTGTGTTTTTACATCTTCAAGTTTTCTTTCATCGACATAGATAAGAGAAATAAGGTGTGTGAAACCTTTCTGAAATATGAAAATGGAACTATCAACTTGTTGTTGAAACCTATTTCCTAAGAAGTGCTTTAGTAAATTTTTTATACCAGTTCTGGAAGCTTGACATAAGTCATAAATTGATTTTTGAAGTTTACAAACATGATCTTCAGTTGGTTTGCCATATCCTTGAGGAACTGTCACATAGACTTCTTCATCTAAATCTCCATGCAAGAATCCATTGTTTACATCCATCTAATGAACCAACCATTCTTTAATAGATGCTACAACTAGACCACATCAAACTATGACCAACTTTGCAGCCAGGGCAAAGGTCTCACTGAAGTCTATGCCTTTAATCTGTGTGTATCCCTTTCCAATAAGACGACCTTTATATCGCTCAACCTGAGCATCCAGTTTATATTTTATCTTGTACCCCATTTTGAGTCAATTGGTTTCTTTCCTGGTGGAAGAGAGGTAAGACCCCAAGTTCTATTGTCTTCAAGTGCTCGTATTTATTTTTCCATCGCTTCTCTTCAATATGGTTTAGTAGCTGCTTGGGAAAAACTTCTAGGCTCATCAGGAGAACTGATAACAGCAAGAAAAGTTTGATGAGTGCTAGAAAATTTATTATAAGAAACAAACCGAGATATAAGATGTATCATAGAAGAACCTGACTCGGGAACGATGATAGGAACAATGGTGGAGTGCTCGAGTGAGGATGCCAGATCAGTAACAAACTCATTCAAATACCTTGGTTTGGTTTTCGTTCATGTACTCCAATAATTTGCTCGTTGTGGGGTCTCATGTGTTTTAGATTCATTTGTTGGAGATCTAGGCTCTTCATGACTCACACCAACCTCGCCATCATGGTCATGGTTGCTGGGATCAACACCATGATCGTGTTCTGGCGACTCATTTTGAGGATTGGTTTGATATGTTGTGAATTTCTCTTGGTTTTTAATAGTATTCCCTTGTCCATGCCATTCGTAAACCTCCTTTTGTATCTTATTTAGATACCCAACAAAACTTGTTTTGTACAAATCTTTATTAACTTAATTTTTACCAAAAGTGAATGTCTTCAATAAAAGTAACATTGCGAATAACATAAAATTTTCCATCTTTTAAGAAATTTTTTTTTACCCTTTTTGACACACAGGGTAGCTTAGAAAAAACATGGTTTGACCCTTTCACCAAACTTATCCCTCCTTCCAATACTATCGTGGTCGTAGGCCAAATATCCAAACACTTTTAGGTGATTGTATGAACGTATTTTTCCAAGTAACTTTTCATGAGGAGTTTTGTTTTCAAGAACCTTAGTAGGTAATTTGTTGGTGATCGATATAGCAATTAAAATGCAATCTCTCCAAAACTATATTGGCAAAGAAGCTTGAAAACGTAATGCATGACCCATTTCCAAGAGTTGTTGATGTTTTCTTTCAACCACACCACCATTTTGTGCAGCGTATAAGGAGACAAAGTTTCTATAAGGATCTCTTGTTCCTTATAAAATTCCATCATATATCAAGACTTGAATTCCGACCCACTATCTGTTCGTGAAGAATGAAATGAGTATGTGGCCCGCTTCAGACTTGGTTTTCATATAGTAAACCTAAACTCCTCTACTATAATCATGAATGATAGACAAAAAATAATGTTCTCCATTTATAGTAGCATTTTGATATGGAGCCCAAACATCAACATGCATTAAGGAAAAGCACTCTATTGTTTTAGAAAAAATAACAGGAAAAGGAAGTTTGGTTTGTTTTGCTCTAAGACATGAATTAAAAAAATTGATTACAATTATCTGTATCTACTTGTTGTAATTACTGCAATACTCCCTCTGAACTGTGTACCAATATTTTACGCTGCTAAATCATATCTTTACTCAGAACCGCCATTGTCACCCTACTTTCCTTGAATGACTGCAAATAGTATAGTCTACCACGTTCCTTACCCGTCCCAATAAGGTTCGTCGAATCGTAAGTCCTATATATAACACGTCTTTGGCAAGAATGTTAGGGAACAATTGAATTCATTTGAAAGACAACTTACAGAAAGTAGATTGTAAATAAAATTTGGAACATTTAACACATCTTTCAAATCAATATCATTAGTGAGATGTATGTCGCCAATGTGTTTAATAGGAACAGATGTACCATTAGGTATAGTGATAGAAACTACTATGTTGACTGGTTTTAAGATCATTTAACCATTCTTTATGAGGAGTTATATGCTCACTTGCTTCATAGTAAATAATCAAAGAAATTCGAGTTTTAATTTTACTAGTCTTGTATGCTTTTGGATTATTCTTACCATTGATGTTGGGTTTAGGTGGGTTTTCGATACTTTTGGACACCCTAAGCATTCTCATGAGATCTCCATATTCTTCATTCATGATGTTTTGAGAACCTGCTTCTTCCACGACTGCTGCTTCCCTATCTTGTGTTTTCTGTTTTCTAGTATGATTCTTTGCATTTGTACTTTTCGTATTCCACCACTCAGGATATCTATTTAGTTCGAAACAACCTTCTACCATGTGACTGGGTTTTTGACAATGTTTACACCACTTGTCCTCTGACTTTCTTGGATTGTATTGCTTAGCACTTGATTCAGATCCAAATTTACTAATTTTACGAGAGATTGACCTTCCTGTTTTCTAGAATGTCGTTGCTTCTGAACCGTAATTGCGCGTAATCCCAATCTGTTGTTGTCGTTCGTCTTGGCTAACAAGGTGGTACTCCGCATTTAAGCTGGGTAGAAGTGCTACTAAGCATCTAAATTCTTACTACATTAAACTCTTCGTTCAACCCCATAAAATAGTCGTAAATGCGTTCTTTATTACGAAGTGTGAGGATATCTATGTTTATTTTACATAAACACGCATTACATGTATGTGTGGCAATTTGGGTTATGGACTAAATTTCATCCCAAACTCTTCTTAGCTTTGTGTAATATGATGAGACAATCAAGTTGTTTTGTTGTATGGTGGTAACCTTTCGTCGTAATTCATACGTTCGAAGAACATTCTCTTTTCCAAATCTCTCCTTGAAATCTAGCCATATGTCACAAGCAGTGACCACATACCAAATCTCTCATTACCAATTCACACTCCTCTTTGTCTCCTTCTCCATGGAGCTCACTAGCCTTCCACGTACCATCATATTGCATCCTTTTCAGTTGTTAAAGTCATCTAAATGATCTTGCGGCATTAGTAGGGTTCCGCCAACAAACCCTATTTTTTTTGTTGGCAAAAAACATTTGTCATCTCGTTTTCCTAATTACCATAATTGCCATCACATAGGAGATTTTCTCCCATGGAGTTTTGTCCGGGATGATCGGAATTGGTAAGGAAGTAAGGCGAAGATATATCAAGAATGGATTTTTCTCCTGTGGACGAACCTGGTTCACCGCTTGACATTGTAGACAAACACTAGTATTGGATTCCCAGGATCCTTTTATAGGATATGAGACTAAAGATAAGTACATAAATTAGATAAGGATCTAATCCTTGTAGAACAAGAAAACGTAAATGAAGATAAATATAAGGATCCTAAAACAATCTCAGCACATACGTCTCATTTCGGGTAATATATATCATTTAATGCCTCTTCAAAATAATCAAACTTCACCTAGGAGAGTTGGTGATCCACAGGATGCTTCTCAGGCTCAAAATAACTCACTTCTAGGACGAACACCAATGCTGATACGCTTTTAAATACTGAACATATCCAAAAATGTCCCTTTCTTTTCCGGAGGTTCCCTTTTATACCACCTACATAATTGGTACGTTTTCTAGACCAAACCTCAAAGGTATTCTTACTAATAGGAATGATGAAAATAGTTTCCTAAATTGAGGTCATCGTTCACCACATTCGTCTTGAATATTTATGCTTAGCACTATCATGTTTCCAACGTTCATTCCTGCCACACTTTTGGCAACCATCTCGCGGTTGGACTTTTTATTAGGAGATCTTCATCTACCCCCCATTTGTTTTTTCTGCTCCCAATTTGGACACATATATGCTTTGATCTTCACCCCATAAGACACTCAATCCAACTATTTGATCTTCCCAAACAACACCCAATTCCATATGCCTCAACTCTTGAGAATGTAAACATGGTCTCCCCTCATCTAATCTAACACTGTCTTGGTTGACTACAAATAAGTTTACTAATTTCACAAATGAAGGTGGCAATGATAGTAGAAGGATGATGTTCATGTCCCTGTACTTTATTTTTTTAATTCCATTTTTTTAAAATCTATTATGATGAAATTAAGCTCATCCAAATGCCCTTTCAAAATATAATATTCCTTCATTTTAAGTGAAAACAAGTGTTACTTATAAGCTTGTTTGCCAAACATGCCTAAGTCATATCTAAATGGACTTTTTCTTCTATTTTGTAACCATACCATAATGATAGCGAGCAATAATATCCAACATAAGATTCCATTTGAGTAATCACGCGATATATATATATATATATATATATATATATATATATATATATATATATATATAAGGATCGTACATGTTTCTTTATATCATGTAATCGATTAGTTTAGTAAGTTTACGTTTTTATTCTTTATGTAAGGCTATGTTTGGCGTACTAGCTGAAAAGTTAGCTGTTAGCTGAAAAGCTAGCTGATAGCTGAAAGCTAACTATTAAATAAAAAAATAGCTGATAGCTGAAAAGTTAGCAGATAAAAAATAATGTTTGGTAAAACTAGCTGAAATATATAAAATCAATAAAAGGACATGTAGGAGTATGTGTTTCTATAATTAATTAAGGGGTGTATTTGGAAAATTTTAAAAAAACTCCTAAAAAGCTAGACTAAGTAGCTTTTTAATAAGCTAGCTTAAAAGCTACTTTTTGGCTTACCAAACACGACAACATAAAAAAGCTCGAAAAATAAGCTAGCTGTGGCACGCCAAACACAGCCTAAATCTTTCTAATGATTTACAGAAAAAACTTCTTAATTATGATATATAGTCATTTCACTGAAATTTCAAAATGGCATACACATTCAACTAAAGCAAAGGCGAAAGCAGAAACAGAAACTAAAGACATAGATAGAGTTCCAACAGAAAAAGAAACAGAAGACGCAGATATTGTTTCAGCCAAAACAGAAACTCAAAACAAAGATAGGGTTCCAACAGAAACAACACAAAATATAGATATGGATTCACTTGAAACAGAAACAAACAACAAAGACAATGTTACAATTGAAACAAGAACAGAAGACAAAGTAACACTTGCAACAGAATCTAAACATAAAGACATAATTTTAACAGATATAGAACTAAAAGTTGAAGACCTAATGAGAGAAGGCAAAAACAAGGCCACACGAAACAAGGAGTTGCTTAAGGCTATTGTGCAAGGGAGATGGCGGGAAGTAGAATCCACACTAAAAGAAGATAAAGCCGCAGCCACAGAGGCAATAAACAGTGATGGCAACACAATGCTTCATATAGCCGTTGGAATAGGTCGTAACTTTCTCGTCAATGAAATATTATCGTTAATCAAACCTGGACAATTACCTAAAATGGTAAATTTAGATGGAAGCACTGCCCTTCACATTGCAGCAATTGTTGGCAACACAGAAGCAGCAACGCTCTTGATTGAAAATGACAGACGTTTGTTGGAAATTCAAGACCATGAAGGTGATACACCTTTGGATAAAGCTTACCAGAATATGCATCTTGACACCATTGATTTTTTGTTGAAAGCTGTGTACGATAATATAAAACCCAAGAAACAGTCTTCTACTTTAGAGGATTCTGTTAGCCCTGGTGTAGAACTAGGCGTTAACCTTCTTCTTAATGCTGTTTCTGCAAAGAAATATGGTGCGTACTCAATATTTCTTTAAATATTTACTTCTTTAAATAATCACAGTTTTTCGAATATGCTTGCAGATTTAGCAGCAGAGTTAGTCAAAAGTTTTCCAGAGTTTGCTGTGGAAAATGATGATGTACTTCTGGCAATAGCTAAAACTTTTCCAATGGGGCTGGATTACTGGGACACACTTATATATCCAAGTAAGTTTCTAATATACTAGAGATATATAATCTGTTTGTTATTCTTTTAATTATTATTATGATTTTTTCCTTTCAGGTATGGGTGATATCTGTGAAAGTACAATCAAGAGAGCCAAGGACTCGTTTAAAATATTAGTAGACTACTACGAAGGCATGATGTCTTTAATGGAAGATATACCTGACGACGTGATCATTGGTACCATACGACTGCTACTATACTTCACATTGAAAGGTGAGATATTGATATATAACCTGTTAATACAACCCCAGAATTAATCACATAATTGACATCACAAAATATAACCTATTTTACAAATGAAAGTTTTCTACTTATGCAGGTCCATTAGCGGTGCTTGCTTGGATTTATTTCATGATTCGCCTACTCATATCAATGCTTTATTTTCCATTCATTATGTTTTATTTCCTCTTCTGGAAGGTTGCAACAAGAGTAGGTATATAATGCATGACTCATGTTTAAACTATAATTAACTTCTATACAATATAAATTTGATGATTGTTTTGAACCAATTATTCTCCAACTCTCAGTTCTACCCATTAAGCATATCGAGAAGAAAATGAAGGAATAGAAATCAGCAAAAGAAGTTCTAAAATTGGTATGTGAGGAAATAGAGAAGTTGGAATTCCCTGATGCTCATCCTCGCTATTACACCAGACCAATTCTTGAGGCTGCATGTCAAGATATTTATGAGGTTGTTGATGAAATTTTCATGAGATCCCCTGAAGCAATTCGATATAAAGATGAGAGTGGGTATGACGTTATACCATTAGGGAGCGTAAGAGTGTTTACAGAATGATCGAAGATTCTTCTAAGAACAATATGTTGCACTTGGTTGGAAGCTTACCTCCTTTGCAGAAACTCAGACAAAGAAAAGGCCCAGCATTACAACTACAGAGAGAGCTTCACTGGCGCCAGGTACGTCCAAAGTCAATTCTTAACCATTATTGTAGCTAGGGAAGTAATATATTTTTTGTTTGATATATATAGTAGCAAAAATAATGGGTTAAATTTATTTTACAGGAAGTGGAGAAGCTCGTGTTTCCCACTTGCACTACAAAAGAGAACACTTTCAAAGAGACACCAGATAAGGTGTTCAGAAGGGAGCACGAAAATATGGTGAAGGAAGCAGAAAAGTGGATGAAAGCAGTAGCAGAATCATGCAGCATCACTGCAGCACTAATTACCACAATTGTGTTTGCGGCAGCCATTACAGTACCAGGTGGAAGCAATCAAGAAACAGGCATCCCTGTGTTTACAAAAGAAATTGCTTTCACGATCTTTGCAATAACAGATGCAATCTCACTATTTGCATCCAGCACAGCATTACTGATGTTCTTGTCGATCCTCACAGGAAGTTTTGATGAGAGAGATTTTCTCTTCACTTTGCCAAGACGACTGATGGTTGGTCTTTGTGCGTTGATGCTATCTACAACTGCCATGATGGTGGCCTTTGGGGCAACGTTGTTCCTTGTCTTTTGTCATAAAAGACCATGGATGCTTGTTCCAATTTGTGTATTATCTTCGGTCCCGATTGCAACTTTTGGTAAACTTCAAATCCCCCTCATATTAGATCTCTATCGGTCGACTTATGTAAACATCTTTGGCATTCCAAACTAATTGTTCAGGATGAGAATTTATTAAGTGTCAGGTGTGTTTGGTTGGATGGAATGAAATGAATTAACTAATGAAATGGATAAGGTAATTGAATGGATTATTATCATGTTATTGTCGTGTTTGTTTACTCCAACATAAATAAGTCATTAATACTTGTTGTTTGTACGGTGGTATGAAAATTCAAATAAATGGAATGAATTAATGGGCATTGACAAACACTACTAAAAAAGCGCTTTTTCAGAGGGACATTTTCCTTGGAAATTCCTAGGAAAACCGCATTTCCGAGGAAATGCCAAGAAAATCTTGTGCGTAGGTAAAACCCTCCTAGGAAATGTTTTGTATGCGATTTCTGAGGAACTTTCCGACGCATTTTATAGGAAATAGTTTTGTCGGAAGTACCGAGGGTTTTCCTAGGAAGTTTATTTCCGACTAATTTCAATTCCGAGGAATTTTGGAGGAAGTTTATTTCCGAGGAATTTCCGAGAAAGTTTCAACAACATTATCCTAGAAAAAAAATATTTACTAGAAACCAGATCTGCTTGAAAATTAAGGTTCATTATATAGTTGCTCTTTTGTGTTCTTGATATATAATCATGGTCAAACTTACGCTTCATATGATAAGCTACCATCCTTTACCGCTGGGAAAGAAAAAAAATCATCAAAATGAATGGCGAAAGTTTACATTCCAAATGTAATGTTCAACAAAATTTTTGACTTGTTTGGTGCAAGCAAAGAAGTTTTTTTATTCACACTGAAAACATTTCTATAATAAACATTTCTATATTAAACATCGTGCTTGTTTGGTGCAAGCAAAGAAGTTTGATTAGGAAATGTGTTTTTCTTGTATGGTTCTGGTTCTATTTACACGATACTTATAGAGATTAGTTGTGCTTAAATGATTATTATGCTTTGATAGTGTGAGAAAGAGTGATCACGAGCTTATGACTCCAGTTTTCAGATATGATGTTTCTTGGGCTATCATGTAGCAAGTAAAACTCTAGAATGTTCATTATGATCTTGAAATGATGACAAATGGAAGCAAGATCTTTAATACATGGTAACTTTTACACATTTCAATTTCTTTTTCTAAATATGGTGCTCATCATTTTTACCCTTCTTTAATTGTTTATATCACAAAGTTCATGACTCTGACTTCATTTTCAATGAGAAATCATCTTTTTTTACCTTTTATTTGTTCATATTATTATATATCACAAAGTTCACAAGATTGGTTTTTTCAATGACAAATTTATGTTTTGCTTTGCATCAATCACAAAGTAAGCATCACTAACTCAAGTTTTCCCTCGGTTCTACGTTTATTAATCATAAAAAATTGTATGTGGATTCAATATTCTACTAAAAGTGAGGTTTTCATGTAATATTACGTTATTTACCAATTTCATGAACTTATATTCTTGCTCTGCGGCTGAGTAAGTTTTATTCTTTACCATTTTTTGGGTTGATTGAAGTCTGATTGGTTCAGGGTCATATATAAACAAAGAAGGCTTAATAACATAACATTTGCATTTAATTTTATATATATTGAAGTGCTTGAGAGTAAGGACTATAGTTCTGCTACTCATTGTTAATGAATATATCCATATTACCCCCTTTTTAGAATTAAGTTAATTATTTTTATGTTTATCACAAAATATGTGCAAATGGTAGAAATGTTATAACTGGTAGCTTCTTTGCACTTTATTCTTTTATAGCATGCTACTTTCAATTATTGATTTTATTAGACCAATACATACACACATAATCCCACATATAATTAGAAATACAAAACAAACATTATAATTTGAAATGCTACCTATTTATATCACTCTACTCTCAAAGTGCAATGCTCTAATATGAAAACAAATTTCCAAACTTATGTAAAACATTTTACAAACAACCAAGTGTTTATCTTAATGAATTAATGGTTTATTTTCTTATTATCTTTTATATATATATATATATATATATATATATATATATATATATATATATATATATATATATATAGATCCAGTAATAAATTTTTTTTGGTAGGAAGGTAAAAAAAAAAATTTCTACATATTTTTTTGACAAACAAAAAAAATAAATCACTAGATGATTCATTTGTAAGATGATTCACAAGAAAAAATTCCAAAAAAAAAACATCTTTATGATTCGTTTTTAAGTAAATTAAGAAAAAATTCACTTTTGTAACAATTTTAGTGAATAACAACAAAATCATTGTATAAATGAATCATCGAGATGTTTTTTTGAGAATTTTTTCTTGTGAATCATTTTACAAATGAATCATCTAATGATTTATTTTGTTTGTTCGCAAAAAAAATATGCAGAAAAAAAACTTCTTATCTTCCTACCAAAAAAAACTTCTTATTTGATCTTGACTATATATATATATATATATATATATATATATATATATATATATATATATATATATATATATATATATATATATGGAAAATACAGAATTAGGGCAACACATGTTGGAACCAATAAAAGAATGACAACACATCACTTTGGAATAACTACATAAATAACTTCCATAGTACATTGCTTATGAATAAAGAAATGGACACGTGTCACTTGATCATTGGTTCCAGCATATGTTGCCCTAATTAATCATTTTCCATTGAACGTAAACCTATATATATATATATATATATATATATATATATATATATATATATATATATATATATATATATATATATATATATATATATATATGAATGAAAGCCGGAAGTTGGAACATACATTATTGGGTATAAACTTCAAATCATTCACCCGAGATGGAAAACTAGTGTAAGGTCTCTTATAAGTTATAATGCTATCACCAATTAATGGATTGTTTACCTTTTAAAATGAATTTAGTTTTAAAGGATGAAGGATGAGGTTAGTGAAAGTACGTTATTAAAATTGTTTTCTTTTTAGGTTATTGTTAGTCGTATTTGTTAGGGATAATGGATAACCTTAGGGGTGAACGTTAAAAATGGAGGCCAAAAAACAAGAAATTTTCAATATTTATAACGACTTTTACACTTGATTCACCGGAGGAAGTAACCTATCCAACTAATTACACCTTTACACTTCATTTTTGTAATATGGTTTCAATACCTTAAAATTGATTTAGACTTCGACATTTGATTTTTGAGATTTACTCTCGTTACTTTGATTGTGATTTGGTATCAATACTTTGAAATCAAATATTAATATTCATTTTCCTAGTCAAACATTAATATTTAATTTACTAGTTGAGTTTTGTTTTAATTTATTATATATATTCTATTTATTTTGTAAATTCTGGTTATGCACTAGAACATCAAAACTAATGATATAACCGACAATCATCGACATAAATGCGATGGAATCCATTTGTTATCTGAGCTTTCCCGAAAATATAGCTATATAACTCATCAACGACGGATTAACGACATACAGCAGCGACAGATTACCGATGGAATCCAGATGTTCCTTGAGCAATTTGTGGCATCGCTAATCCCTTACTAATCTGCCGCTGAATCCGTCGCTAACAGTTAGCGACAATTTTTCGTCGCTGATACCTTGTTTTCTAGTAGTGAAAATACTTCATTTTTCAAAATATAACTGTTTTTTTTTTCAAAATTTCAAAGTTCAAAATATTCATTAACTGCTATAAATACCAATAAATTTCTTTATTTTCACCACCTTCACACATTTTTCATTCATCTCTCCAAACCTTTCTTTTCCACTGCCTTCAAATCTGAATAAAGAGATTATTTGGCCTCATGCGTGAGTCGATGTAACTGACGATCTAAATAGCAACTATCTCAAAATTGTTCTTTCTCGAGCGAACCCTTTGTAGTACCAAAAAGAATGTGACAAAAATGTCACCAGTCTCTCTAGTCATATAGGTTAAATCGTTATTTATGAAGGGTGAAATCAAAATTTTTCATTCTTTTAGATAAAAGCATAAAAAAATGGGGTACCGAAGAAATAAAAAATCATGATTTTGCAGGATTGACATTCCTTATTAAAATATGACATTCCATTGCAAAATTTGTTTTGTTTTGTTTTTTTTTTTTTTTTCAATTCTTGTTAATTACTCATTCTAATCCCTTGCTTATTAGTACATATCAAACAGGGGCTTAAAGTTGTAGTATGGAAAATATTGTGTTTCTTATGTGGGGAGATTTATCGTCTTAGATCCACAACAGAAGCTTTTTCAATTTTTTTTATTTTTTATTTTGAGTGAGGGATGGTGGGTAGGTTAGTAGGAGATGAGGTTAAACACCTCTTTTTTGTTTTTTTTTAATACGAAAAATGTTAAAGTAAATAATAATGCAATAAAAAAATACAAAGGAAATCGGTCATTTCACCATTCAAGTTTTAGAGGGACCAAAACCGCTATGAAATTCTATTTTGGACCAGTGGTGCAACTCCAAAACATTTTGGAAAAAAGTTACTATTTTTTACAAACCATATGGACGAATTTTACAATTTTGTCATACATAATTATTAAACTTCATAGATATCACATTAATCTTTCAAGAAAACATGTTCTTATGCTTCATTAGACAAAAATTAAGAATAGACAAAACTGCAAAAAATGGTCTCTATGGTATGCATTTTTTCTGAGATTTCGTGCAAACCTCAATTGTTTTCGATTAAGGTCCTTTTGAGCTACTTTTTTTTTTTTTTTGGTTTTAGTCCCTCAGAAAACTAAAAAGACTACAATGCACATTTTTTAATACTTATTTTCATCTTTTATTAATTAGAAAACAAAAAGGACCCACCTCTCTCTCTCTCTCTCTCTCTCTCCCCAACAATGCATATGGTCTTCGTGTTCTTCAATTGTGTTTCTCTCTTTATAGTTGTAGAAGAAAAAAACAATGAAGACAAAACAAACCATATCAGAGGATTTCCCAGGTTCATCCCTCTTCCGCTCTCTACCTCTCCAAATTTCACACATTGGTCACCAGTTGGAATAAAAACTCGATCACAACACCTCTAATTCTTTTTTATCT